CTGGCTTAGCTGCTGCGTGGCTGTGGCAGGACTAGAGAGGGGCTCGGCCAGGCTGGAGCCACGCAGGGCCGATCCCTCCAGCACCTGGGACTCGCCTCGCCCCGGGACCAGATGCGAAGAGGGCTGGCTCAGCCGTCAGCAATTACCTGCGCCCCTACCCGACACCTGCGTTCCGCTTCCGAGTGGGCAGATGGTGTAATCTGCCCGCGCCGCCCGCTACCCCGAAGCCAGGCTTGCGGAGACCAACCGAGCAGTCACTGCGCGCCAGTGTGTAGCCGGCCCAGGATCCCAACACGCGCGAGCCTCAGAGCCCAGCCCAAAGATGATGCTTCACAAGGAGCTCCTTCCCTCCCAAGAATAGTGCGCCCTCCAGAGTGCAGACGAACAGCACCTCCAGTTTGAGCTCCTACAAGCCCTCTAAACTGTGAGCGGGGAAAGACAGAAGCCCCCTGCTTTTCTTGTAGAGAAACTGAAACTCAGAGAGATCAGATGGTTTGCAAAAGAGTACACACATATTAAGAGACGGAACCAGACGGAAACCCAAGTCTCTTCAAGTCCACTATTTGTCTAGAGCTGCAAGAGTTCCAAGGACTACTCTGGTAACATAAGCAAAAGGACGTAAGTGTTCGCTGGAGTCAAGGGGAGGTTTGCTGTAGCTGTGGGGGAAGGGAGAGAGCTGTGCCTTTCAAATAATTGAAGGTTAGTGGAGATCTAAATCAAGCCTAAACCAGGATTCAATAATGATATCCAAGTATCAAAAAAAAAAAAAAGGAGGCCTGGCATGATGGTAAAAAGGCGGTTGCTGCCAAACCTGAAGACCTGAGTTGGACCCCCAGAACCCACATGGTGGAAGAAGAGAGTCAAATCTTGCAAGTTGTCCTCTGGCAGACATGGTCTCTCATTCCCACACTCAGACTGAGGCAGGAGAAGTGCCATGAATTCAAGATCAGCATAGGGGATTTACTGAAACTTTGCCTCAGAAAAAAAAGAAAGAAAAAAGAATGAAGGAAAGTAAATAAATCAGAGGGTTGGCCCATCGTGGTGGCTCATGCCTTTAATCCCAGCACTCAGGAGGCAGAGGCAGGCAGATCTCTGTGAGGCCAGCCTGGTCTACATTGTGACTTCCAAGACAGGGCTATGTCTCAAAATTTAAAAAAAGAAAGAAAGAAAGAAAAGAAAAGAAAAGAAAAGAAAGAAGGGGAGGGAGGAAGGAAGGAAGGAAGGACGGATGAATGGATGGATGGATAGATAGAAGTCAAGATGCTGGAGAGGGCACAGTCAATAAAAGCCTTACCCTGAAAACAAAAGAACCTGAGTTTGGTCCCCAGAAGCCACCCAGAAAAGCAGGACATGGGGGCACATTTCCAATGGCAGCACTAGGGAAGGCAGAGGTGGTGGATCCCTGCGGGTCACTCACTAGCAAGCCACCCAGGCCTAACTGGTGAGTCCCAGGCCTTTGAGACACCCTATCTCAGAAAGCAAGGTGATGGGGATGCAGAGACAGCTTAGGGTTGAGAACGCTTAGGGCTCTTGTAGAGAATCAGGGTCAGTTCCCAGCACACACACCAGGTATCTAGCAGCTGCAACTCCAGTTCCAAGGGACTCAGTGCCATCTTCTGAGGTCCTCAAGCACCTGGACACACATAGGGCACATAAATTTACACAGGCACATGTGCACACGCACAGTAGATGGCAACTGAAGAATGACATCCAATGTTGACACCTGCCTCCACTTGCACCTGCAAGCGAGCACGCATCCACACTACTCATGGGATGTTAGATTCTCCAGCTTAGAAGGGAAGGGGTCATTAGACAAAACATGCTCAGATGAGTTTACCATTTCCTCTCCGAGATCCATCTGCTTCCTTAACGATCCAGTTAAGCTGGAGAGAGGGTCTGGCAGATAAGGGCACTTGCTGCGCAAACATGAGCTGTGTACCTGCAATCCCAGTACTGTGAGAGCCGCGAGGCAAGCACAGGAGAGAATCCCTGGGATTTGTTGGCTGCCAGACTAACCAAAAAAAAAAAAAAAAAAAGCCATGAGCCCTGGGTTCAAGGAGAAACAAGGAGAAACCCTGCCTCAAGGGACTAAGGCAGAGGATAATAGGGGAGGCTACTCAGCACCCACCTTCAGTCTGTGTGTGCATCTGTGCATGAGCACACATACCAACACATGTGTGCATATACCACAAATATGTACAGCACAAAAAATACATAAAAGTCAAAAATACAAAGATTAGGCTGTTCCTATTGGAACTACAAACAACAAATAAAACGCTCCCAGTTTCTGGCCCCAAACAGGGTCCTTTACACTGCTCTGAATTGAAAAACCAATGACAACCATGCATGGTTGCAAGCATCAAAGGAGACTAATTCTTGGCCAAGAACAGAAGAATCAGGCAATAAACTCTTAACTCAACTTCTCCAGCTGCTGGGGATCCAGAAGTTACAGCTACAGGGCAAGAGAAATGAGGGTGAGTGATAGGCTGATAAGGGACAAAATTGGGCTGGTTTTCTGAGAATGGATGGTCCCAGGAATTCTGAGGCCACCTCTTTCGGCTCCTTTGATGGTTCTTTCCAGTTGTCCTCATAGCAATTGTCAATTGTCAGGACACTGGAGTGTGTCATTTAGCATGAGGATGACATCATAATTAAGTTTGCCATTGTCTGGTAGCCATCTTAGAAGCACTTCCTGCCTATAGGCATCTTGTCTTGATTGCCTACTTGATGGGATTTAGAATCACCATGGAAACAAATCTCTGATCACATCTGTGAGGGATTATCCACATTAGATTAAGTGAGGTGGAATGACCCGACCTAAATGTGGGTGTAATACCTGGCTGGCATCCATCTTTGGAAGCTCCTTCCCCCCTGGGAGTTGCCATGGTCTGGACTCTTCCTCCGGGAAAGTTCACCAAGCGCTGGCCCCTCCCCAGGGAGGGTCAGGACCACTCCCACAGGCTATTTAGGCTGCCACGCAGAAAAGGAACACGTGGTCTTCGGGTTTTGCGTGGTCCCTCCCACCCCCATGCCCTCCCGACCACCTGGGAGAACTGCATTAAACGTGGGCATCTTTTATTCGGTCTAATTTGGTCTGATTGGAATTATTTGTGTCGGCGGAGAGGCTCATTTTAGGATTATACCTAACAGTGGGCAACACCATTCCATGGGTTGGCGTCATTCCCTGGTCTGAGCTCTGGGACTGAATGGAAAAAGAACAAGAGCGAGCACAAGCTTTGGACTCTTTCTGTTTCTTGACCGTAAATGCAACGTATCAGTAGCCTTCCACCACGGCTGATATGACTGAATCCCCTAAAACCCTGAGCCAAACAAACCCTTCCGTCCTAAGGTGCTTTCCGTCAGGTAGTTTTGCAGTAAGCACAGCACAAGCGGCTGATGTGCTGATGGCGCACGGGAGAGATGCAGCTAAGCTGTAGAGGTCAGGACCTACCCTCTGTTTTCACAACCAGTCTGCTTTAGGAGACAACTTTCTCTCTTCCAGCAAATGGCTGAGTTCCTCCCCCAACCCCTCTGAAGTCCTGCTGTGAATTCCTTTCTCTCCTGTGTTTCAGAGTTCAGGGCAAATTTGAGCTCTTCGCACGCATCCGGAGTACGGGAAGTAGCCACCCTCCATCTCATTTCTTCCCACCAGTCACCCCAGGAGGTGGCTACTCATTAGCCCCATTTGACAGATGAAGCTGGGGGCGAAGGACCTTTATCAGGACCTGTGACAGAGCGACTTTGCTCCTCTCTGCAGCCCTGCATGAGTTCCAAAGGAAAGAGAGGGTTTGTACTTTCTCCCAGCTGCTCCAACGGAGGCGCAGGGAAGGATGCCACTGCTCTCGGAGTCCTTTTGGCTTTGTAACCACTCCCATTTACTGTGGACCAGGGAAGCCGCCTGTCCGTCCCCTGACCTGTAAAAGTGAAGACAACAATAGTGGTTCCCCGATTCTGTGTCATAATGGGGATGAATTGAGACACATTTGTCTGAGGATAGAAAGACCACTTATCATTTGACCGCTTGCTGCTCTCCCAGAGGACCTGAGTTCAATTCCCCACACCCACAATGGGCAGTTCATAAATGCCTCTAACTCCAGGGCCAGGGGATCAGGTGCCCTCTTCTGGCCGCCTTAGGCAACTGCATTGCGAACCCACACCGACACATAGCACACATAATTAGAAATAAAATAAATTTTTAACAAGAAAGATTTGTCTGTGTGACCCTGGGCTTGATGACCCACATTAGTCCGCTACAGTCGGAGCCTAGGAAACCAGAGCAACCGAGGTGATTCCTGTCGCACCTGGGAGGGTCTTGAATCTCTCCAGGTAGATGAGCTCAGTCCAAGTCCTCAGATCTCCCATCAGGCCTGGAGTCACTCTGTAAAATGATTTGTGAAGTGACAAGCAAAAATATATTACCAATTTAAGAGTGTGATTTGCCTGCAACTTTTTAATCCTCCGGCTGTTGTTGAATAGATTAAAGTGTCTGCTTTGATCCATGCATTTAGATGGAAACATAAATATAGCCATCACTTATTCTCCCAGCCGCAGGGATGGGTGTCGCACTGTGTCACACAGGCTTCCGACCCCGCCAGGGTAAGGCAAGAGAATGACCTTTTTGCCATTTAAATCCCTCTTCGTTTCAGCCCTACTTTTCAGCTCCTGCCCCGGTCCATCAGCAACCTCCTAATTCGATCACCGCTCACAGTGGGAAGCGGTCACCAGTAAAAGGTCCCACGCACTGGCGGGCAGCAGCGGCCGCCCAGTGGCCTGGTGCTACGTACTTCCCCTGGCTCGCTAGAGCCCTGCAAAAATAAATCTCCGGAGAAATAGATTTTGAAGAGGAATTCAGTACATAGATCTTCTGTCAGCGGAGCAGACTCTGGCTCAGCCGTTTTTCAGGCTCGCTGCGTATCTAGAAATACATCTATTTTTACATGGCTCTCTAGCGAGAGTTCCTCTTGCCCGGAGGGGTAGGAGGACATGAAGGGAGTCAGAGGATGGGAGAAGCGAGGGCTGTGGGGACCTGGTGGAGAGGAACAGGGAGGCGACTGTGCAGAGTCCTGGCCTTCTCGGTGTTTCTGCACATCCCGGCTCCCATCAGCAGAGCCCGATCCAGCCTCATCACCACGCGGACTGTGTGCGTACCCTCGACCCACCGAACCCATCTTAGTAACAGGCCTGGTCTCCTCGGACGAAACCATACACGACTGCAGACTGGCGAGCGCACAAAGAGCTTCAGCGCCGCCTGGGGCTCGCTGTTTGTTCTCGACTTGCAGCCGCTGCGAACAGCAGGAGCCACGGGCCAGATGGCTGGAGGGAGGTGCGAGCCATCGCGCTGGCAGGCAATTAGGCCTCAAACAATGGCCCGTGAAATGTCAGAAGTGTCGGGGAAAGGCTGTGGTGGAACAGCGGGGTGACCACGAGAGGATGGGGCCGAGAGCACTGGAGACAATTCCTGCCTGCTCCCACAGGCGTCTCTGGCAGAGTTAACACCCAATGATCCGTTTTCCCAGCGCCCACTCAGATTCCTGTCAGTATAAGGGAAAGGCTAAGAGAGAGGGTAGCGTGAAAACGGCAAACCCCAGGTGTAGAATGCTTGCACCAGATAAAACCAGATATGGTGACGAACACCTGTGATCCCAGCACTTAAAGAAATGGAGGGAGGAGAATCAGGAGTTTAAGGAGAATCAGGAGTTTAATCCTTGGCTACCCATCTGGTGAGTTCAAAGCCAGCCTGAGATACAAGAGACTTCAAAAAAGGAGGGTGGGAGAGAGGAAGGGAGCAAGGAGGGGATTGAAAGAGAGAAACAAAGCAAGGAGAGAGGAGAGCCGGAGAGGAGTGAGGACTGCCCTCCTGGTGGCTACCAGCTACCATGGCAGCCCCACAACCCCTAGACGCTGGGGTTAAAGAGAGGCGACGAGATGGCAACACCCACCCCCTTGGCCACCACAACTAAGAATTATGTAGAGTAATTAATCAAGAGCTAATGAGAAATGTGTTTTCTCTCCCGGCCTAGCCCCGCGCCGTATTCTTATTAGCTGAGGTTATTACAATAGTAATCATGCGTGCTCCAGGCGCAAATTGGGTTTTTTGCTCCACTGCCACCAATTTAGAAAACCATTAATGGCAAGATAAGGCCCCGGTGGCTCGCACCGGGCCAGCCTGTGAACCCGCCGCTGACTCTCGGCTCACACACCTACACACCCATGGTCCAGGGGGCGCTCTCCCAGGCACCGGGCTCTTCTGGGAGGACTGAGAGAAAAAAAAAAAAAAAGGCTAAACATTAGGGAAGAGACACTGGGCCTGGGCACCTTAGATATTTCTCAAACAAGAGCCCTCCGTAGACTAGGACGGGACAACCTCGTGGAACAAAACATTAGACCAAGTTTGCCACTAGAGCCCAGAGCATCCTAATGTGCCCTTGAGTTCTTCCCTTCCATACAGCCTGCTAGAGAAGCTCCGGTGAATCCACGCCTCGCAGCTCCCTTGCGGGAGGTTGCAATCCGACACTAGCCCTGGAAGAAGTTGTCACTAGTGAGAAGATTGGTGAGTTCAGTGTTTTGTTTTGGTTTTTCATAATTTAAAAAAATGCACATTGTTTGCTTATTCATGTGTATGTGCCACAGCACACACATGGAGGACAGAGAACGACTCAATTCTCTCCTTCCACCATGTGGGGCCCAGGTAGAACTCAAGTTGTCAGGCTTTGGAGGCAAAAGTCATGGGCTTGGCAGCAAGGACCTTTACGTGCTGAGCCCTCTCCATAGCCCTGGTGATGGAAGTTTTCATAAAGATAAACACATGCCATTTTTGATGATGATCTCAATCCCAAAGTTGTTTCCCAGTGTGTGTGTGTGTGTGTGTGTGTGTAAACTTACATTTCTTCATATCTTTTCAAGTATACAAGATGGGTTCAGGCAAAGTTGGAGGTGAGCTGGTCCTCTAACTGGGAGGAGCAGAAATAAACCAGAAGGGCAGATAGCAGGCTGGGCTCCCTGCATGGCTCTATCTTATATTACATTTGGGCTTCCTTCCCTCCTTGGGTGGAACCTTAGGAGAAATGAACCCAGGCCACCCCTGAAAGCTACTCAGGGCTTAAGCCCACTGGGGCAAGACTGTGTTCCCCTCAGCAGGAGATGCCCCAGTTCTGTCCTTTGGCATGAGTTCTCTAAAGCCCATGATGGTGGGTGAAGACACAGGTCAGCGAGGCTAGATTATGGTGTCACTCCTGTAGCCAAATAACTGCGTCCTTTAGTCAGTCCTGTGAGAGTAAAGAGCCCAACTACAAAAGAGAAGTAAAGGCTTCTAGGCAGAGACAGGCATGGTGGTATAAGCCTGTAATCCCAGCACTTAGGAGTGTGACCACAAATGTGAGGCCAGCCTGGAAACCCTAGCAAGGCCATGCCAATAAAATAAGTAAATAAAATTAAATTAAAATGCCGGTCCTTTATGGGCCTCAAAGGGTGGGGTGGGATTCAGAGCCACCAGAAGGCATTAAGGATCATTTTACCTGAATGGGGAGGTGGCTCGGCTGGTAAGGTGCTTGCTACACAAGTGCCAGGGCCTGGGTTCCACCCCCAGCTCCCCTGACCGATCAGACATGGTGATCCATGCCTTTAATCCCAGCAGTTGGGAAGCAGAGGTAGGAGAAGCTCTGTGAATCCAAGGCCACCCTGGAGTACAGAGAAAGTTCTAGGACAGCTAGGACTACATAGAAGACCCTGTTTTAAAAAGAAAAGAAGCCAAGTACAGCAACACACCTGTAAGTCCAGCAGCTGGAGAGATGGAGAGAGGAGGGGCTCTGGGGTGTGCTGGCCAGCCGCGCCTTAAGTGGTGAGCTCCGGGTTCAGCGAGCAAGCCTGTCTCAGAAAATAAGGTGGAGAACAGTTGAGGAAGCAATGAGACACAGGCCTCTGGCTACATGTGCACACACTTGTGCAAGTGCTCACCAAGAGAAAAGAAGAGATCACTGTGTCCATAAGCATCCGCCTCCCAGGATTCCCACAGGAAGCTCTGTCCACTAACTCTGGCAGAGAGGTGTGGTGGCAAGCGCTCAGCATCCTCACTAGCGGGGCAGGGCCTCAGGGTAGGCCTCTCTACAAGATCCACACACAGGCAAATTCCCCACCCGCTTCAGGCTCTTATGCACTGAAAACCAAGCACTAATCCGGAAGGTTCCTGTAGCCGTGGCACTGAGAGTAAAGTTAGTGGGCAGCAATTTCTCTACAGAGAAATTTCTTATTTGGGGTCCTAAAACCTTACGGGAACCCAATCACTGTGGCTCACATACATCTCTAGAACAGGGAGTTTTGGGCAAAATGACCCCCTGTTGTCCTCTCCCCCTTCCCATTGCAGGCAACCCCACAGGTCACCCAATGAACACCCCCCTTAGGAATGCTAGTTTGGCCCTTAGATTCTTTTTAACTATAAATATAAATTGCTACAGATCCTTACTTATTTTTCTTTTTTTCTATGTGTACTTGTTTGTGTATATGTGGGGGGGAACACTCATGCATGCCTGTGGAGGGCACACACATTGCGTTCTGATGATAGTTCTCACGAGTTACTCCTCTCCTGCCCCCTTGTGGGATCCTGGATCAAACTCATCTGTCAGGTCTGTTTGGAAGTGTCTCTATCTGCCATCTGCCAGGGCCCCTATCAGCCCCTTTATTCCTTTTCAACATGTGTGTTGAAAGTGTCCCTGGTTCTACATGGAGGTATATAGCAGACAGATTCTTATTCTTAAAAAATATCCTTGGGGTCCCCCTGCCCCGCAGCAAACTCTGGCGGGTCCCAGCAGTGCCGGGCGCCGGCTCTCTAGGGTCAGGCACCCGAGCAAGCGGCTACAGCTTCTCACCAGCGGGAGGGCAGGCACACGGCGGGTCAGACATATAAACACAGAAAATAGCCACAAATGTTTATTAAAGAGGGGGGGAGACAGAGAGAGAGAGAGAGAGAGAGAGAGAGAGAGAGAGAGAGAGAGAGAGGAGAAAGAAAGGAAGGGAGAGAGAGGCAGAGCCCCGTGTGTGGAAACAGGAAGAGAGGGAATGGTGGGCGAGGTCAGAGGTTAAAAGGAGTGGGAGTGGCCAGGGCAGGGACCAAAAGAATAACACAGATACTGTTAGGAAACAACAACAATCTGAGCAGGAACTTACATGACCCTAAACAGTTAGGGTTAAATCCTGCCCCCTTTTTTTTTGGGGGGGGGGGGTTGGTTATTTCTATCATTCACTATTATTTAGTTGCTTGAATCCATTGTCCACAAAAATTCCCCCAAATAAATATTCCACTTCATCCAGTATTATAAAAGATTGAGTGACGCAGACCTGAGTTCGAAGTCCGTTTACTTCTCATTGGCTGCTTGGTTGGGGACTTTTTACGGCTTTTTTTAATGAATGTATATTGATTTTTATTTATGCATATATGTATATGTGTATGCTCACATGCATGCAGGTGTCCACTGGGGCCAGAAGAGGGTATAAGATCCCCTGGAGAGACTGGAGAGATGGCTCAGAAGTTAAGAGCACTGGCTGCTCTTCCAGAGGTCCTGAGTTCAATTCCCAGCAAATTGTGTATGGTGGCTCACAACCATCTATAGTGAGATCTGGTGCCCTCTTCTGGTATGCAGGTAGAATACTGTACACATAATAAATAAACAAATAAATAAATAAATAAATTCTTAAAGAAAAAAAAGATCCCCTGGAATCACAAGTGGTTGTGAGCCACTTAATGTGGGTGCTAGATGTGGGTGCTAGAAACGAAACTCAGGTTCTCTGGAAATGGCAAGCACTCTTAATCACTGAGCCATCTCTCCAACCTGTATGTTTGGGTTTGAGAAAAAGCATGTACTCCTCATAGCCTCCATTTTCCTTCATCTGTAAGATGGGACTGCACCTCCACGTCCTTTGAGAGATTGTTCATGAACATCAAGGAGACCCAAATACACATCCTTGTGTCTTTTAATAAATATGAGCACCCACTAAGTATCAGGCTCTATCTGAGATGTATGCTGAAACGGCTTAACTAAGGATGCCCGCGAGACCAACAGGTGTGATACAAAAGAGAATTAGTCAACCGAGCAGTGGTGGCGCACACCTTTAATCCCAGCACCAGAGAGGCAGAGGCAGGTGGATCTCTGTGAGTTCAAGGCCAGCCTGGTCTTCGGAGCAAGTTCCAGGACAGCTAGGGCTACACAGAGAGACCCTGTCTCAAAAACCAAAAGAAGGAGAGAGAGAAAGTACTAAACCTGGATGGAGGTGGGCGGTCCTTGGACTTCCCACAGGTCAGGGAACCCTGATTGCTCTTCGAGCTGATGACGG